CCTAGTTTGTGACCACTTTCTTCCATATCCTTTCCAGTTTATTATTCACCAGCCATCCCATGAGTTGATGCCCAATGCCAGGTAGTCTGAAGCATGAGAAGGCCAGTAAATCCCAACAAAACTCCTCCTCCTCCTCTATCGTTGTCACCACCACCGCCACTGCTGCCACCTCTGACCTTATCAATATGAGTGACTACCTGGAGATTATGCTCCTACTGGAATTGCTGTAAGGGCTACTGGAGATTTGCAAACCTAACCATGTTAAGGTGTTGGTCCATGAGGAGGCCCAACAGAAATTATTTATTTCATTGTTTGGCAGTACTTCAGCACCAATAAGCATGGAACATGTGTGTGCATGTATGCAGGTTGCTTATCCCCCCCCCAGAAAGCATTGCTATCAGTGTCTGGCTTGTTGTATCACTGAACTGTAATGTTGGTGGCTCTTCTGGTGCTCTTTTTAGGGGTTGTGTAAATAAAAGCTAATGCCACAGAAGCCTTAAAAGAAATAAAGAGTTTATAGTCTTAATGCCTCAGCAGGCAACAGTCTGGACAGCTGAGGTACAATTCCTGGTAGGAATGCTGGGAATTTTCTGCATCACACTAATCAACATCATGTCTAATGGGTAATGGTTCCCATAATGTGGTTTGAGCTTGACGCTGAATCTTTGCCCATACACTGTGGTGTAAGATGTCATTGTCTCTGTCTTATATTTTATTTGTTTCATTCTGGTCCATCACACTAGCAGTATTAGAAAAGGTTAATCAGCTCTGTCCAGTGTGACTCAACTTCCTTTAAAGAGAAGCAGTATAAAAGACAGAAACCAAATTGGTTCTAAATTTTAACAAAGTCTTTTTAAACCACACTTGTAAACAGACTAATTGTAATAATTATACACATTTTAATGTATTTGTGCACGTTGCTGTAGTTGTTGAAGGATCAGATTTTGTATTAATAGCATTGTGATGATATTGTATGTATGTATTTACGTATATTGACCAAACCCATTGTAATAGTAGTTTCAGCCTGTACTGATATGTCCTTCTGAAGATGGTCTGTAAGACTGAAACATGTCAAGGATGAAAGATTAAAAAGGGGAGAAAGAAATAACATTTTATTAGTCACACTGAACAGAGTTGATTAACCATTTATATATCCTGTAGGTTATTTAGACAAGACCAATTAATTATTCCTGCCCACTAAGAGCCTGTGTCACGGGGGAGGGTTCAGTATCTGTAATGATACAGAAAGGTGTGAGGGCACTTTGCTTGCTGGCTACTTGGAGGAAAAGACCAAAGCCAAGAAAACCCAGGCAGAAATTACTCAAAAACCACAGTAAGGATAGGTTTTGTAAGGAATGTAAGTAAAAGTAAAGCTGTCCCTGTAAGAGGCCATGAAGGCCCATAGGGTTGTGAGACGTTGAGGGTCCTGCATTATCTAGACAATCAGTTCAAAGAAGATGGTAAGGTTATCAGTCTTACGTACTGGCTGCGCTTTGCTCCCCAGGAAAATTATTTAATTAATTCCTGGTACTCATTTCTGTTAGGTTTAGTCAACCCCAGGGCCATAATGCGGCTGGAAGGATTAGGTCAATTGAAAAGAAATCCAATGACCTCATCGGGACTTAAACCCGTGACCTTCCGGCTTGTAGCATAGTCCCTCAACCAACTATGCTACCACGTGAGCACTAAATTCTTAGCCCAAAGTACAAATATACAAACATCAGCATGAACTGTTCTCTGTGTAAGAAGGAAATACTGAAAGCAGCTGTTCGCATATTATAGATGGTCTGTATGGACAGCAGAGCTGGTTTTTCAGCATAAGATGATCTTTACACCAGTGGCAACCACAAAACTATACCCACCTGTAAGCATTGCTAATAAAACAGTACCTATTTCTGACAGCTCTACATCAGTAATATTGTTACAGCCTTGCAAACTGAAATCTAGAACTTTGTGAAAGTATTTATTGATCAAACTTCAGGATAGTAAGAGATACTTACCTAAGAATTAGTCTCATCCAAACGTAGCTTCTTAAGTCATAAAAACGGTTTTTGGGCATCATGTATTTGGATTCTGGGTAAACCTCGCAAGCCACATTAATTCCAGAAACACGACCAAGATGACGTGCAGTATCTCCGCAGACCTTCTCTGGTTATCAACTCGTGATATAGTCAAACTTTGCCCTCTGCCTATAGTTAGTATAGGACCAGGCTGCTATGTAATGCACACCAACTTCTTCAGCCTCTTATGTAGGGGAATTAATGGAACTTCTCCTGCCATGGGGACCTCCACCTCGTGTGTTGGTCCCTTCAAAGACTCAAGATCCTATCTCCTTCCTAATTTACCATTGAATCCCACTTTGTCATAGTTCCACCTCCTAGGAGAACTCAGAGCCTGCCCATTAAACCAGACTTTCCTGCATGCACTCTTGTGCTAATAGATGATGTAGGGTGACATGTCACAGAATGATGTAGAATACTGTAAAATAGTGTAATATTTTACAGTTTGACTCACATGAAAAACACAGTATTAATCTTAATTACATACAACAAAATACAATATGTGAGTAAAGTTTGGTACTTTTTCTGTTCCTTGTATTACAGACTTAATTTATGTTCAGGGTTAAATTTCAATGTGATGGACTTAAATAGTGGTGCAGAGAACAGACTTCTGTTGTTGTTCCTAACTTTTCCTTACTTTAACAAGGATATCTGTTTATATTTACAACCATGTTTGTCTGAGATATTTACAAATATTGGCAGTTCACAGTAATTCTTATCAAGTAGCACTCACTTGCTCATTCATGGAGCTGAGCCCTTCTTGAGAAGCTGCTAATTGTGTAGCTACTCAAGAACTTCCCAGCATTTTATGGAACCTGAAGGCTCATTACTGTGTTTACAAGAGCCCTCCCCTGGTCCATATCCTGAGCCAGATCAATTCAATCCATACCATCCCATCCTGTCTCTCTAAGAGAGATGGTTTAACATTGTCCACCCACCTATGTCTTGGTCTTCCAAATGGTCTCCTTCCTTCTGGCTTTCTCACCAGTATCCTATATGCATTCCTCCCTCTCCCCCTTTCATGCTACATACCCTGTCGATCTCATCTTCTTTGACTTGATCATTCTAATTATATTTGGAGAAGAGTACAAGTTATGAAGCTCCTCATTATGCAGTTTTCTGCAAACTCCTCTCACTTCATCTCTCTTTGGTCCAAATATTCTCAACACCCTGTTCTCAAACACCCTCAGTCTATGTTCCTCCCTTAATATCATAGACCAAGTTTCACACCCATACAGAACCACAGGCAAAATTATAGTTTTGTATATTCTAATTTTTATGTTGTGAGAACTGCCCACATTCAAGCAAATGTTGCAGTGACAACTCAAAGCAGTGGCAAGTAAACAGTCATTGCTAGGTAAAGTCTACAACAATATGTGGCTATAGGAAGCACCCACAGTGCATCAAGTGCTAGCTGGTTCCCACAGTCACTTATTGTTGTAGGCTTTACCAAGCAACAACTGTATACTCGCCATTGCTAAGCAGTGATACTTGAGTTGTCACTGCAGTGTTTGTTTGACAGTTCCCACGATGTTTTTAGACAGCAGATGAGAAGACAAAAGGTTCTGGATTGACTGGTAGCAAGCATTACCCAAGCTCAGTCTTCTCTTAATTTGCTCCTGAATCAAGTTTTGATTTGTTACAGTCATTCCCAAGTATCTGAACTATGCCACATTTTCAAAATTTCTGTTTCCTATCTTTATGTCATGATTTTGCTCTGCAATTTTATGATGAGACAGCAACATATACTTAGTTTTCTCTGTGTTTACTTCTAGACCAACCTCCTTACTAGAGTCAATTAAAGTTTGCGTGTTTCTCTTTATGGTATCTGTATTATCACCCAGTAGATTTACATCATCAGCATAGATCAACAGCTGGTGTGTCATGTTTAATTTCAATCAAACCTAGTTTTCTTGGACCTTCCTAATGGCATATTTTAAAGAAAATTTGAAAAGCAGTGGCAGTAAAGCATCTGCTTGTTTTAGACAGTTTTGGATAGGAAAATTGTCAGACAAGTGTTTACCTATACAGACTTTACCATATGTTTTGTTTAATCACATTTTATTGAGCCTGACTAGTTTCATGGGTATCCCAAACTCTATCAGAATATTGTGCAATAATTCCCTCCTGACTGTAGCTTAGGCTTTCTTGAAGTCTTATGAATAGCTGATGTACTCTCTCGTTGTACTCCCCATTTTTTATCAAATAGCACTAAGACACTCAAATTTAATGTTCACTGCTACCCTTTTTGCCTATACTATATACTGCAGACAAGGGCTTTCCTTAAGGCAATTGCACGTCCATTTTCTTCTGCATTCCTCCCAATTCATTATTCATTAATGACCTAATCATATGTTGTATGTAATCTGGGCTGCTGAAAGCATCACAAGGATAAAATAGAAGTACCCTGTGCTCTGTAGTCTCAGTACTGAAAGCATCATTAAATAACTCACAAGAAAAGTAGAAGATACCGTGCCTCAAAGCATCAGTTAATGCATGGTGTTATTCTTCTGTATGGATGATAGTCATATACAGAATTTTATGTAATTTGTCAGCTTTAAATGACCAACAGTCAGTCATTTGTTATCAGCAGAGTTTGTCACAGCAAAAGTAGAGGGTAGTTCTCGTTTCCTGATTTTTGCAAGGAAATTATTTTTTTAATCTTAGTACACCTTACATCAGTATTTAGAGACAGGGATGTTTATAGACATTAATTTTGTTATTTCTTTTCATTTCTAAAGTGCTTTGCAGTCTACAGAGATATGTCATTTTGCGCACGCGTGTCCACACATACACACATGCACGTCAACCCCCCATGCTTCCTTAGTAGAATTTGTGCATGGTAGGCACATACAAGAACCACGTACATGGAGCACCAGTAGAATCAGAGGCAATAACTTAAAATTATATATTCATCAAATAATCAAGTTTCATTTACAGCTTGATATTGACAATTGGAGCAACATTCGAGGACCTCGGCCATGGGAAAGTAATGAACAGCAAAGAAAGTCTGTGCCGTCGTCGTCATCATCATCATCATCATCATGATCATAGTAGAATGTTGAGATGCTTCTGAAGATTAGACAGACCTGTGTGCATTAGACAAGAATTCCTTTTCTGTTATGATAATACTCTGTGAACTGATGGATTACTCCATATAAGGTGAAAAGTGTTTGTCTGTGTTTGCAGTATTTTGTAATCATTACAATTCTAATATTGTGATGTACCTAAATATTAATCCCAAAAGATCACGGCTGCCACTGAAATAGTTTCACCAGCAAAGACTACCTTGTTAAATATCTGTTTCTTTGGTACACATAAGGTTAAGGTTTGCATCATCTCTGTATTTGCTTTTCAACACACAAAGGAATTTTATCATAGAAATTTATAGGCAAGTTACCTAATCTCCCAACATATACTATTTTATGCACTTACTTTAAGTCTGGCTTCAGTTACTTACCAGTAATCCTTAACATATATCATCAATTATCTTCACTAAATTAAAGGAAAATATATTTTCTTAAATTTCTCAAGCAAATGCATTAATGATTGCTTTCATCCATATTCTTTTGAGTTCATAACTTGCCACGAAGTTCCTACATAATGTTGTGTGGCATCTGTAGTTGAAAAAGCATCAGTAAATAAAAGTGAAGTGCAGGAAAGAATGTTTGAAAACTGTTCATGCTTTTAAGACATGATACAAAGCCCGATAAAGGAGCTGAACTGATTCTTTAAGAAATTTTATTTACAAGGGTTGGAACTTTAATAGTGGCAGCACTGCTGTAGAGATGCCATGCAACGGAACCAAATAATATTGCTTATACCACACGTTAGTTACATACCTACCTTACCTGAGAGCAAATGGACTCTCCCTTCCCACATGAGGAGCATGTGCAATGACAAGAAGAACAGAGCCTCGTGTTAGCTGGTGGTCTAATGTAGTGTTGTCATGATGTTTTTGAAACAGGAACAATGGAGCTGGATAAAGATTGAATGTGCCAGAGGCCGTACAGCACGACAGTGTCATCAAGGTCTTCAAGAGGCTTGCAGGGAATCTGCATTGCCTTACATAACAGTGGCAAGGTGGGTAAAAGCCTTCAACAAGGGACGCCAAAATGTGGCAGACATGCGTCGGCCAGGTCATCCTAGTGTCAGTGAAGAAGAAGTGTATGCTCTCTCTGTGTTACTGGAGAGTGATCGACGCCATACGATTCATGAGCTGGCCCGAGAGACAGGATTAACGCATACGACTGTGCTTCACATTATGAAGGAACGCCTGGGCATGAGAAAAATTGCATCATGATGGGTTCCGCATGATTTGATGGAAATGCAGAAATGGCTATGATACGATGCTGCTTGTAACCATTTGGAGCACTACGAGCATGAAGGAGATGCTTTCTTACGCCGTATCATTACGCTGGATGAGACATGGGCCAAATCGTATGAGCCACAAATGAAACGCCAATCAAATGAATGGCGTCATTACGGGTCACCATGAAAATCAAAAGTTCGTGAGAAGCCCAGCAATGTGAAAGTTATGGTGATTCTCATGTATGACTGTGATGGTGTTATCCTAACATACTATTCCCCAACAGCAGACCATCAGTGCGCAGTATTACTGTTCATTTTTGGAACACAACCTGCTACCAGCTTTGAGAAAGAAGCGGTGACACTTTCTGCAGAACCCACACATCATTTTGCAGAACAGTGCTCTGCTGCATGCAGCTCAAGCTGTGGCTGATTTGTTCGATCGATGGGGCTGAGAAGTGCTGTACCATCCATCATGCTCCCCGGACTTAAGCCCTTGTGACTTCGATTTGATTCCTAAGATGAAGGAACCACTTTGTGGCATTCGCTTCAGAACTGTTCCAGAGATTCCTCAGGCAGTAGGCCACTCCATTCGAACTATCAACTAAACAGGCACTGCTAAAGGTATCCTACGACTTCCACATCGCTGGCAATGGGTTGTACATAATGCTGGTGGCTACATTTAAGGACAGTAAAACTTCAAAACATGCATCTATTTTGTATCAGTTGTAAATAAATAGTTTCCACTATTAAAGTTCCAACCCTTGTAATTACTAACTGTTAATTAGAACAAGGATAGCCTAGTGAGTGTAATGACTAGGCTGCAGGCTGGATAAGTAGGGTTTGATTCCTAGCAGGGTTTTAGTTTCTTTTTCACCATCACATCCAGACCAGGTGTGGGGCTGACTCAGCCTGCTAGCCCTTTGGCAGTGGGGCTGCTCCTCCTGTGGCATGGAGCTCACTGCTCAGCTCCATTTAAAGCTGAGGTTAGGAATGCTTGGAGTTGTATCTGCATTTGCCTATTCATCTCCACAGAGTTGTGCTTCATTAAGCACAAAAACGACTGCACCTTTATCTTACCAGGTTTATGTGAGTGTTGTCACCTCTAGTGTCTCTGTTTGCCTTTTTATTTTGGAGAAGTTCTTTGAATTATGTCATCCAATTGCTCAGAACATCTTCAGTAGATTCAAAATGAGGTCCATTTAATTAAATTGTCAGTTTTGGGAACATGAAAAGTTGAATGGGATAAAAGTAGCTGACATGCAGTGAATATTCAAAGACGGGTATTAGGTTTTTGGATGAAAGATTGATACATGACACTGGTATTAGGTTTTTAGACTTCGTCCATGATTTTAGAGAACGCAATGTTTTGGAAACTGGATTTGTTTCCCTCCCTAGGTGAGGGGGGCACCTACTTTGTTCAGTACCTTAGAAAGAGTTAATCCCAATCATTGGACAACGTATGGCAGTATAACTACAGGTATGTGAATACCTGAGACAGGCTTTGTCAAAATGAGATAACATGAAATATGTAAAATCAAGACTGTGATAAAGCATGAGCAGACCTGAAACTGAAATAGAAAGGGAGGTGAACATGTACAATATCAGAGTTTTGTAGAATAATCAGAATTATCTCAACATGCAAGCTAGGATTTTGGAAGTTGAAAGTAGCAGCAGGTATAGGAAATACAAGGAATTGGCCCATATGGCTTGCTTAATCAATCTGATCAGTGAACCAAGTTTGGATATTTCTTCCATCTGGATCCCCCTTATCAGCAATGAGGTTACCAAATCACAGAGATGATCACTATGATCTGATTCTGGATGGGTTTTTATAAGGTTTTATAAGGAACCGTATGGACTGAGAGGAATATTGTATGCATGGATGAGACCGTATCTTACAGATAGATCACAGTTTGTTGAAATTCACTATATGGATCGAAAGACTTCTAAAAGGAAGACAGTTACCTCATCCCTTAAAGCAATTAAATGTGGTGTGCATCAAGGTTCTGTTTTGGGACCCCTTTTATTCCTGTTATTTATAAATGATCTGCCCCAAATTATACATAATTGCTGATGATACAAATATATTGATTACTGGGAAAAATATTTTATCATTAAATGAAAAAAATTCAAAATGTAAAGAATCAATCAGAAAAATTGTTTTATGAAAGTCGTTTAGTAATAAACATGATAAGTCAAAGGTATTATTTTTTCAGTGAAGTAGATCTATTCCAAGTACCAGACCCCTTTTTTATATAAATAATGAGGTGGTTTGTTCAGTGGATGTAAAATTTTTGGGTATTTGCATTACTGAAGATTTAAGTTGGGCAACCCACATCCAATATGTATGTTAAAAACTAGCAAGAGTACCTATTTGATAAAATCCCTACAGGACTCGGTGAGCCAAACTGTTTTAAGAAGTGTGTATCTTGCAAAATTTCAGTCCATGTTGACATACAGTATTATTTTTTGGGGTGAGGTGCAAAAGGACTCCGAAACTATTTAAACTTCAGAAAAGATGTGAAAAGGTGTTAAAAATAGAGTTTTCTGCAGAAATTTGTTTCGTGAATTAAAGATTTTAACTGTTACTTCCTTATATATTTTTGAGATCCTATGTTTTATAATAAAAAATAAGATTTATACCACCCAGTATTCTGATGTTCATGGCTATAACACTTCATAAACACAATTTGTATGTACAATATTGTAATACTGAGCATAGCAAGAGAGGGGTGATTATTATGTGAACTAAAATACTTAATGGCCTTCCAACTGAATGAAAGAATGTAATAAATTTTAATGTTTTTAAGAAGAAACTTAAGAATTATTTATTGTGTAATGTCTTCTATTCTCTTCAAGAATTTTTTAATAATTGTTGATATGGACTGCTTCTTGATAAATCTGTCTGTATATTTTTATGCCTTTTTTGGAGTATTTATTATTATTATTAATTGTTGACATAGAGTGCTTGTTAACTCTTTGACTGGCATGGGTGCATTTTTGTGCCCGGACAATGCCAGCCGTTCCCTGGCGTTGGCGTATTTTAGCGCTTTGATACACTCTTCCCTTCTTTGCTGTCTTGGCACTCATCAACCAAAGACATATTTATGATAGTTTTTGTGCATGGTTGTAAAGAACCCTTGTTGACTTTGTGGGGGTCTATATTACTGTCAGAACTCTCCGAGAAGGAAAAGGTCAGAAAATATTTCACATTCATTCAGTTTCACCATGGCTTCTTGAAGCAAGTGTCGGAGTGTTCCTACAGACCGGCTGGAAAGTGTTGTGAACGAGATTTGTGCTGATGATGAAAGTGGCAATGAAATGATTCCTGAATTAGATGAAGTTGATAGTGACAATAATACAGTGATAGACAATGATCCACAAGACAATAATCATGAACATTTAGCCACCACGAGTGCAGTGCCTGACATGCCCATCTCATGGACGTACGGAGACATTGTACCAACAATAGTTCCATTTACTAGTAGTTCCGGGATCATAATTGATATAACACATAAAATGCACCCCTTTTCATGGATTAAATTTTTTCTGAATGATGACTTAGTAAATCACATCACAACTGAAACCAATCGCTATGCTCACCAGCACTTCAACACACGTGAGTTAGCTCCTCACTCTCGAGAACACAATTACAAATATATCACACCAGATGAAATGTGGACATACTTAGGAATTGTGTTCATAACAGGAATCGACAGACACCCCAAAATTGAAGAATATTGGTCCACTAGGCCCCTGTTTCACACTCCATGGTATGGACAAAAGATGTCTTTGCGGCAGTTCCAACAGATCTCGAAATTTCTTCATTTTGCAGACAATGATGCACGACCAGCTGACTGTGAAGATTGCCTGTATAAAGTTAGGCCAATTATAGACTCATTAGTAAGGAAATTTAAAAACACATATATCCCTGAAAAGGAAATTGCAATAGATCTGGGAATAATCGCTTGGTATGGACGTCTTGTCTTCCGAGTATATATGCCTGGCAAACCTGATAAATACTGTATAAAGGCTTATCTTGTTTGTGAATCGACAAGTGGATATATTTGGAATTTTGACAGGACAGGGGTGGCATTTAAATACCCTTTGCACCAGTCAAAGAGTTAATAAATCTGTCTGTATGTTTAAAATATTTATTCTTATGTCTTTTTTTGGAGTATTTATTATTCTTCAATTAAGTTAAAAATGTATTTTGAAATGTATTGCTGTATTATAGTGATGAATCACTATGTGAATNTCCCCAAATGTTCAGTTTTTACTCCACAGATGGCATTAGTGATAGGCACAAAATGGTTTTCACAACATTCTTAAATTAATTCTCTGCATTGGT